CAGCAGCGTGAGCACGCCGCCCTGCGTGCACGTCTACAAGCTGAGCGGCCCCGATGACGACCCCCTGCACAAGCAGCCCCGCTTCTGGGCCAGCATGATGGAGGCAGCCAGTGAGTAGCCCCCGCCCTACGCCGCCCCGCCCAGCCCCACAGGAGCCTCAGCTCTCCCGGCTATAAAACGGGACAAGGACCCCATACTAGGATGAGAGATGGAGGCCTGGGGGTGGCCTGCTTGGCCTCCCCCAGCCCCCAGACCCCTCCCAGGAGCCCGAGAACTCATCATAGGACATGACCGACAGCCCCTGCAGTCTGTGGGCTCTGCCGCCCGGGACGGTCCTGGGTCTCGGCTGCAGTCAGTGGCTGGACTGCATGGAACCCAGTAGGGATGTCGCTCCGTGCCAACCCCCTGCCCAACGGCAACCAGTGAGACACAGACCCTGTCACTGGGGAGCTCCCAGGGTAGTGGGCAGGTGACGAGTAAACATTTTCATCAGCCAGTCACAGTGGCTCATACCTGTAATCCCAGTGCTTTGGGAGGCCGAGGCAGGAGGATTGCTTGAGCCTAGGAGTTTGAGGCTAGCCTGGGCAACATAGCAAGACCCCCCTCTACAAACATGTTTAAAATTAGCCGGGTGTAGTGTTGTGCACCTGTAGTCCCAGCTGCTCAGGAGACTGCAGTGAAGGGATGGTTTGAGCCCAGGAGGTGGAGGCTGCCGTGTGCTGTGATTACACCACTGCGCTCCAGCCTGGGCAACAGAGCAAGACCCTGATCTAAAAAAAGGTAAAACTTAAAAGCATTTTGATCAGTCGTGGTCTGTGCAGGGGTGGCCGGGACCCCACAGTCCACCCATGCTGGCTTGAAACCCACTGTGGTTCTCAGGCTTTCGGCCTCGCCTTCTCTGGGACCCTGGAGTCCTGGCCACGGTGGCATGTAGAGGGTCCTTTAGGGTGTCCCGTGCCCAGAGGCTGCCACCCACAGCAGCACTGTCATTCCAAGGCCTGTGTCAGGAAAAGGAGCAAGGGGTCAGTCACAGGGGAGCCTCAGGAAATGAGGCAGCCCGACACCTTGTCCCGGAGCCTGGAGGTTGGCCAGGACCCTGCACTGGTGACCCCGGGTTCCAGCGCTGGCCCCGTCACACACGTCAGCTTATCACCGTGAAGCGTCCTTTATCAGTGCAATTGTATACACACAGTGCAGGATGAAAGCCAGCCGCCCGGCACACTCCCAGGCTCCCAGGTGCCGCTCAGGACAAAGACAACCATCCTGGCCCTGGCTCTGCCGTGTTGGTGGGCTTCTGGAACATTCTAGCCACAACACATTTCTAGCATATGTGGGGTGTGTGGGGGCTGGAAAGCATCTGTGATGCCCTCACCCCCTGAGCAGAAACAGATCCCAGGCCTCCCTCCAGAGCTCAGTCTCCCCTCTCCCATCTGCGCCGACACGGGCAGGAGCTGGGGCGGGGGCTTCAGATGAGGAGACGGGCCAGGGAGGACGAGGGGCTCAGAAGGGCACGTGGCCCAGCAGTGCGGCAGACACTGGAACCCCAGCGCCCTGGGAAACGAGGGCCCTGTTTCCTGAAACTCAATCTGTGCCACGTTTGAAGATGGTCTGCATTAGAAGTCGGCCGACTGCCGCCAAATCCAGCCACGCACCATCTTTCTCGTGTGGTGTGTGGCCGAAGAGACGCAGCGCAGAGTGTGTGCCCTGCCACGCCAATCCCCTGAGCCCAGTCTGGCCCTCTACAGTAAACTGCCACCCCCAGTGGCAGTTTATAGGAAGATGAGTGCCCTTTACTCATCTTATAAATTGCCTCACCAAATTTACTTACATACATTTCTTTAAAGAAAAAACTTTGAGCCAGGTGCGGTGGCTCACACCTGTAATCCCAGCACTTTGGGAGGCCAAAGTGGGCGGATCTCCTGAGATCAGGAATTCCATGACTGGCCGAGGTGACTCCCGCCTGTAATCCCAGCCCAGCCCTTTGGGATACCAAGGCAGGTGGATCACCTGAGGTCAGGAGTTTGAGACCAGCCTGGCCAGTAAGGGGAAACCCTGTCTCTACTAAAAATACAGAAATTAGCCAAGTGTGGTGGCGAGCACCTCCCACGCTGGCTTGAAACCCGCTGTGGTTCCCAGCTACTCGGGAAGCTGAGGCAGGAGAATCACTTGAACCCGGGAGGTGCAGGTTGCGGTGAGCCAAGATCATGCCACTGCACTCCAGCCTGGGTGACAGAGCGATACTCCGTCTCAAAAAAGAAAAAAGGAGTTCGAGACCAGCCTGGCCAACATGGTGAAACCTGTCTCTACTAAAAATACAAAAACATTAGCCAGGCGTGGTGGCACATGTAATCGCAGCCACTGGGGAGGCTGAGGCAGTAGAATTGCTTGAATCTGGGAGGTGTAAAGGTTACAGCGAGCCGATATTGAAATACTCTCTCTCAAAAAAAGAAAACCCCCCACCATCCTAATTGGATAATCACTGTTGCTTTGCAAAAATAGCAGTGACCCCATTCAGGAGGCCAAGGTGGGAGGATCGCTTGAGGCCAGGAAGTCGAGACCAGCCTGGGCAAGAGGGAGATGAGACCCCATTCCTACAAAAACTGTACAAATTTTATTTTCATTCAAATACAATTCTTTTTTTTTAATTATCAACCCTCGGGAAGCCTAGGAGAAGAGGGGGTGCTTCGGCCCCCTCCGAGGCTTGGGGTGGGCGGTGGAACAAGGGTGCCAGGCAGATGTGGCTTCCCCGGCCAACCGGACACCCAGGAGACCACAGCCGCCCTGTCTCCCACAGGCTGCCCCCCGGATTACGTGCCTCCAGAGATCTTCCACTTCCAGACACGCTCGGATGTGCGGCTGTACGGCATGATCTACAAGCCCCACGCCTTGCAGCCAGGGAAGAAGCACCCCACCGTCCTCTTTGTGTATGGAGGCCCCCAGGTGGGTGCACACCTGTCCCCAGACCCCACCCCACCATCCACCCAAGGACTCCCTGGCCACTCGCCCGGTGTCCCAGCCCACCCTGCCTGTCCTGACGACACAGCGTTCTCGGGGCCCCTCAGTCTCCTGCCTCAGTGGCTGTCTGCACGCTCCCCGTCGTTCCTGGACGGCCTCCCCTTCGCTCTCCGCCTGCTAACATTCCCCTCGCCTCTGGGAAGTCCCCTAGTCTCCAGGTTGGGATACAAGTGGCCGTGGGCCCTGGGCCCAATTCCCGGAGCAGGGGTCAGGAGTAGGCAGCAGATTGGCAGGTGGACCATCTTAGGCACGGATTTCACCCAGAGCAGCTCTGCCCACCTGGGGGACACAGGGCGATGTCTGGGGACTTTATGGTTCATCACAACTGAGAGTTCTGGCCTGGAGTGGCTGCTCAGCGCCCTGCAACGCCCAGACAGGCCCCAGCCCAGAGAATCAGCCAACAAATGTCAGTGGTGCCAAAGTGGTTGTTCCAGGCAGGACTGGGGCAGTGGCCTAGCTGAGGAGCCTGACAGGGCCCTTCCCCTCTCCCTAGCAAGGTTTCAAGTGCAGGCCCCAGAGCACAGAGGGCTCCTCCTACCTCCTCACTCCCAGGTGTCCATTCAGAGCCTCCAGGGCTGCCGTGGCCTCATGCCAAAGCACAGGCACCTTCATTAGGCTCTAAGGCCGCAGCCAGGCCCGGTCCCCAGCCCGCCAGCATCTCCCCGGGCCACCGGCATCTCCCTAGCCCGGCATCTCCCCCGGCCCGCCGGCATCTCCCCAGCCCGGCATCTCTCCTGCCTGCTGGCATCTCCCCAGCCTGCCGGCATCTCCCCAGCCCAGCATCTCCCCAGCCCACCGGCATCTCTCCTGCCCACCGGCATCTCCCCAGCCCGGCATCTCTCCTGCCCGCCGGCATCTCCCCAGCCCGGCATCTCCCCTGGCCAGCCCATCCTGCCTGGCATCTCCTGCTGGACTTCTGCCCTCACTTCACAGGTGCAGCTGGTGAATAACTCCTTCAAAGGCATCAAGTACTTGCGGCTCAACACACTGGCCTCCCTGGGCTACGCCGTGGTCGTCATTGATGGCAGGGGCTCCTGTCAGCGGGGGCTTCGGTTCGAAGGGGCCCTGAAAAACCAAATGGTAACAACTCCTCCCTGCTGGGTCCTTCCAGTCTTGGCAAGGGAGCCCTGGGCCGCGTGGGCACGGGCGTGGGGGCAGCTCTGGAATACCACCCAAAGAAGGGTACTTCTGGCTGCGGTGATGCAACGAGGTGGCCTTTTAAAATGAAAGGGGACATATGCTTGCTGGTCAGCCCTGGGTTGCGCCCTGCAGGGACACAGGCATCCATCCAATCTGCCTGGTGCCTGAGCACACAAAACCCAAGAGGCTGCAACCCAGACGCAGCCAGACACCGCGGGACGGGCTGGGTCCACAGGAAGTCCCAAGGGCGGGGCTGGACAGGGCCGATGGCAGTGATGGTGGTGATGGTGATCATCTCAGCCCCTTTGTGCTGCTGGGACAAAACCCCACAGCCTGGGGATTCCTAAAGAACAGAAATCTCTGACGGTTCTGGAGGCTGGGAGGGCCAAGGCCAAGGCAGGGCTGAGTCAGGGAGGGCTGTTCTCTGCCCCCGCTTAGGATGCCTGCTTGCCACGTCCTCCAGAGGGGCCCAGTGCTACCTGCTACATGGCAGAGGGGTTGGGAGGGGGGGAAGAGAAGTGACCTCCCTCCGTCAGGCCCTTTTATAAGGGTTACTCGTCCCATTCACAAGGGTGGGCCCCATGGCTCCACTGCTTGAAGGCCGCAGTGGTGATCTCAGCACGGACTTCAGAGGGGACACCAGCATTGAAACTGTGGCAGTGGCAGTGGTGGGGATGCGGCTGGTAGTGATGACAGTGACGGTGATAGCACCAGCCGTTCTTTGTGCCCTAGCACATGCCTGGGCACCCCTGTCTCTTTTTTTTTTTTTATAAAGAAAAAGAGACAGGGTTTCACCATGTTGGTCAGGCTGGTCTTGAACTCCTGACCTCAGGTGATCCACCCACCTCAGCCTCCCAAAGTGCTGGGATTACAGGTGTGAGCCACCACGCCCGGCCAACCCTGTCTGTTTCTTCCTCCTGCCTTCTGGAATATGGGTCCTCTTCCTGTTAACATTCTGTATTAGGGATGGGCAAATTGAGGCCCAGAAAGGGGACATGGCTCCCAGAGCCACTCGCCTGGGAGGTGGCAAAGCAGGGTGGCTGCAGGGTTGGGGGTCCTGGAGGGACGGTGGGCTTCCAGTGAGAGAAGCCCAAAGGGGCAGAGGTGTCGCTGCAGGGGAGGGGGCACGCTGGGAGGAGGCCACTGAGGTGCCTGGCTTCGTCCCCCAGGGCCAGGTGGAGATCGAGGACCAGGTGGAGGGCCTGCAGTTTGTGGCCGAGAAGTATGGCTTCATCGACCTGAGCCGAGTTGCCATCCATGGCTGGTCCTACGGGGGCTTCCTCTCGCTCATGGGGCTAATCCACAAGCCCCAGGTGTTTAAGGTGGGTCCCGCCCCGGGCCAGCTTCAGCCACACCCCTCCCCGCCCCCTTCCCCGTCTACACCGCGTTTACCCACCGCCCGCGCCACCCGGAGCCCACCCCCCCGGGGAGGCGCCTCGGCAGGGGCCTTGCCACGTGGCTGTTTCTCCCTGCAGCAGCCCCACGGGGCCGAGCCCCCCTCCTCATTGCCCGCCACCGCCGACCACAGGATGGCATCCGGCTGCACAAAACCCCGCCAGCAGCTCTCTGTGGGAGGCTGAGCCCGGGACCCCGGCCTCGGATGGGCAGAGGTGGGGCATGGTGTGCAGAGCGGCGGGGGGGCCCCAGGCCGGCGGCAGTCAGGGCACTGCGGGGCGGCGGCGATGAGGAGGAGGAGGAGGCAGACGGGCAGTGGGACCCGGCCCTCTGCGGCGGCGGGGAGGGGCCGCACCTGCCTGCCCGTGGCGCCCTGCCCGCCCTCGAGCCACGCATCGTCCACGGGGCCATGAGGTCTGAGGGCCCCTCCCTTGCCGGCCCCGTGTGCATGAGCGCTCCTCACAGGCTCCAGGGCGGCCCCGGGACAGTGGCTGATGCTAGCTCTAGGACCCGACGCCTCTCTCTCTCTCTCTCTGCCCCCATCCATCTGCTGGGCCTCTCAGGTGGCCATCGCGGGCGCCCCGGTCACCGTCTGGATGGCCTACGACACAGGGTACACTGAGCGCTACATGGATGTCCCTGAAAACAACCAGCATGGCTATGAGGCGGGTTCCGTGGCCCTGCACGTGGAGAAGCTGCCCAACGAGTAAGGCCACCACCCTGCCCTACGTTACTCCCTGGGGCTTCTCCTGCACCTCGCCCCTGCTGTCTCTGTCAGGGTGCCCTCCCGCCCCAGCTGACCCCATCTAGGGAGCCTCAGGCCATGCTCCCCCCTCCCCAGCTGTGCTCCTTTGTGGCATCTTGCCTGCGTATCCCTCCCGGTCCCCTCCTACCCACCCTCCCGCCTCCCTGCCCCTCAAAGGAAGGAGCACCTGGAGATGCTGGTCCCAGGAAGGAGGCTCCCAGCTCTGCCCTGGGAAGGATGAGGGAATTCGATTCACTGCTTTTCACAGGCAGGCCTCCCCTACTCCCCAAAAGCACTCCCCCACCCTGCACCCCACCACGGCCCGTCACAGCCTCTGTCTTGTGCTCCGGACATAGATGTCCACTGGGCCAGGGGCCAGCTCTGATGTCCCATTTTCTCCTTTTGACATGGGTCTTGTTCTCTGATGGAGAGAAAACAGTCTTCTCATTTTCGGGCACATCTCCAGAAAATGTTCCCCGGAGTCCCATGCAGTCATCTGGGGGCTTAACAATCTGCCAGGGCACTTCGGGAGGCCAAGGCAGAAGGGTCGCTTGAGGCAGGAGTTCAGACCAGCCTGGCCAACACGGTGAAACCCCATCTCTACAAAAAAAAAAAAAAAAATTAGCCGGGCATGGTGGTGCACCCCTGTAATCCCAGCTACTCGGAAGTCTGAGGCAGAAAATCGCTTGAACCCAGTAGGTGCAGTTGTAGTGAGCTGACATCACGCCACTGCACTCCAGCCTGGGCGACAGAGAGAAACCGTCTCAACAATAATAATAATTGGCTGGGCACAGTGGCTCACGTCTGTAATCCCAGCACTTTGGGAGGCCGAGGTGGGCGAATCAGTTGAAGTCAGGAGTTCAAGACCAGCCTAACCAACAGGGTGAAACCCCCATCTCTACTAAAATATAAAAATTAGCTGGGTGTGGTGACACATGCTATAGTCCCAGCTACTCAGGAGGCCGAGGCAGGAGAATCGCTTAAACCTGGGAGGGTGAGGTCGAAGTGAGCCGAGATCGTGCCATTGCACTCCAGCCTGGGTGACAGAGCAAGATTCCATCTCAAATAACAATAATAATAACTTATTGTGAAAATCACATAACCTAGAAGTCTCCTTAAAGCAGTCCTCGGAGCGGCCCTTCCCTGGTTCCAGAACATTTCCAGCACTCCAGCGTCAAGCCCTGTTCCCCGTATCTGCACTCACTCCCTGTCCCGGGGCAGCCTCCAGTCTGTGCTCTGTGTCAGTGGGTTTGTGAGTTCAGTTGATTTGGATGAATGTAACCCGAAATTTTAGTGGCCGTGTGTGGCCCCTGGCTCCAGTATCGGACAGGAAGGGCTTCAGCAGCGGATTCTGGTGAGGCTGCTTGTTGACCTCACCAGTGGCCCACGCCACGCTCCAGACCACAGAGGGCACCCGGTGCGTTTTATTGTTTTGTTTTTTGAGAGTCTCGCTCTGTCATCACCCAGGCTGGAGAGCAGCGGCTTGATCTCGGCTCAATGCAGCCTCTGCCTCCCAGGTTCAAGCAATTCTCTGCCTCAGCCTTCTGACTAGCTAGGATTACAAGGCCTGCCCACTATCACGCCCGCTAATTTTTGCATTTTTAGTAGAGATGGGATTTCACCATCTTGACCAAGCTGTTCTTGAACTCCTGACCTTGTGATCCACCCGCCTCAGCCTCCCAAAATGCTGGGATTACAGGCATGAGTCACCGAGCCCAGCTTTTTTTTTTTTTTTTTTTTTTTTTTTTT